AAATCATTCATTATTTTGAATAGTTGTATAATTTAAATGGACTCCTTTTTGCAAAAAGACCCAACAGACAGAATATTTAACGTTTATTTTCTTAAATCAATTTAATTTAATTAAATATTTTTTTAAATTAAAATAATGTTAAGTTGTTTATTGCTACTTTTTTCAAATGTGTATATTTTCCAAAAAAGATAATTTTTCCAAGACCTGGGAAAAAACGGAAAAACAGGGTTTTTCTTCAATTTTTCCGTTTTTTCCCCATGCTGTAGACTACAAACTAATTGCAAAAGTATATATATAAACTATAAAACTATAGTTTTTATGGAATACGCTACTGAATATATCGTAATAATCACTATTTATGTTAGATTAAAATTTAATTATGTTAAACTGCAGTCCCATGGGTTGCAGAAAAATAAATGCAGAAGAAAGAAAAATAATTTAAGACCTATTTACATGAAAATAAAAATAGTAATATTTCCATATGCTTATAAGCAATTTTATTTCGTTTATGGAAGGCTTTCTTCCTGTAAATTTTCGTTAGTGCTTGAATGTTTGGTTTGGATGCAAAGCGTAGAAAATTCCGGGCAAGTTATTTGTCCAATTAGGAGTGACCCTACTGGTCTTGTTGTTTGTTTAAATGGTTTGCTAAGGACGAAATGATTGTAATTTTCGCCGGGCGAGAGCTGGCGCGCACACAGGTAAAAAGACACCGTCGTCCTCGTCGTGCGGAGGAGAAAAATAAAAAGAGCCAGCGAGCTTCCTTCTCTTGCCCGAAAATAATTTACACAACCAGTTCTCGGCTGTTGCGTACCGAACTCTTTGTTTTAGGTCGGGCCGTGTTTTGTTCTTTCTTCTCCGCTTTAAAACGGCTCTTGTTTATTATTTCTGCAGCGGACCGAATGCACCAGTCCGGCGACGCTCGAACGAGATCGCGAGGAAAACTTTCTTGGTTTGTTGTACCGTGGTACTCAGACTGCAGCGGATTGAAGAGGCGGCTCGCAGCCCACGTTGCCGGCGCTGACGCGACGTTGCCGGTTCGCGGTTAAACGATTTAACGGACAGCTGATCGCGAGATGCTTAAGTAGTATAAGTAGAGGCAGGCGGATTGGAAGGGCTAATTTGACATGCATTTTAGCGACGGAATGGTAATTTTGCAGGCTTTTCTTTCATGCTGCTGCAATATGTAATTACGCTTGATTACAAACGCAACGAAATCTCGGCCTGTTTAAATACGAGTAATTTAATTTACACTTGTTAATTACATATTTACGAGGTTCTTATCGGGTTGATAATTAAATTGTATCCACATTGTGTTGTTATTATTCATTTTACCTGGCTAAATTTATATTTAGTGGTAAAAATGATTGTTGTGGTAGAGTCGTGTGGTGGTTATCTTGGCCGATCAAAAGTCCATATGAAAGAACGAAGCAGTTTGGCTCGATGTGGTACTAAACGAGTTGAAAACATTCGGTACCGGCGGTGGAGTCGCCGTAACTTATTGGCTTGTACGGGCTCCTCCGGTGCCCGGTAGCCGACTCATCCTTTGCCGGTGCCCATAGGTTCCGAGGTACCGTGGATAGGCGGCGAGTTTCTAACAGGCACAAATTACCGGTTGCCAGGGACGATTTAAATCAATCTCCTCTCTAGCCGAGCGAGCATCGCCTGTTCACACCGCAACACCACCAAGAGCAAGTCCAAGTCTGCATATGCAAATTTTGCGGTGTCCCGCACGCACTAACATTCCTCCATGGTTTTGGAGAAGAGCTGCGAATGATGGTAATCTTGCGAATATATATATATATATATATATATATATATATATAAATATTAGACTTTTTTTTTGTAAAGTATATCGAAAATAGTTTGGGGTGACAAAAAAAAATTATGGTGAAAGTTTGAGTCCATACTATTAATATTAAGAGGTCTATCATCGCAATTTTAGATTTTTTTTTCCTGAGCAAGTTTTTGTCTCAGAACTCCCAAACCATTGAGTTTAACAAAATTGACTTAAGCATATTTTTTGAAGAAAATTAAATGTTCTACAAAAATGGTTTTTGATTGGAATTTCCCGTCAGATGAACCGTTTTCTTACAATCATGCAAAATTGGTATAGTTTTACAATTTGATCTTTTAACTTTGGAATTTTGTAACTCATGTAAAAATCAGTTCGCGGAAAATAAACCAATAGATATTATTATTTTTAGAGAGTAGGAATAAGGAATCCGAATAACGATAATAACAGATTTCTGGTAATATATTATAAACATGTTCACTATGTGCACTATGGACAGTTGTTACGAACACGTTACAAATTAGAATAAAGTAAGCAGAAACATAAGTTGCAGACGCTGTAGTCAGTTGAACTCGATGCGTATTGTCAATGGGACTTTTTGATTGACTGTCTACTTTTTTAACGAAATAATTTGTTAAACATTAACAAAATAATCTGTAAACTTTGAAATTAACGAAAGGCTTACAAAATTTCGAATTAACTTTTAAATTATTTTCCTTTGTTAAAATAATCACAAACCCTGGCTTTCTACAAAAAATTATGTTAAAATTTTACAAAATTAAAATTAAAATTAAAAGTACAAACCCAAATCCGAACAGTGTAATTCAAAATTGATGGGATTAATAAATTAAAATTGAGTAGTGTTGAATTAATATATAATAACAGAGATAATTAATTTGAGTTCCATTTATGTAAAAGTGGCGTCACAATTCATAAATTATAATTTCATTAAAATAAATCACGGACAAATGACAAAGCATAAAATTTGGTTAAATTTATTTAATTTAAAAATATGAATAATCAAGTTTAAACAAACATTTACGAAGGAAAACGAAATCCTTCATTTATTTTTATTAGCCATCTATTTAAAATTCCAGTTATTGTTATGCTGGAAACGACGACGACCAGAGGTAGGCAGGCAGGCAGGCAGTCAGGCAACTACAAAAAACGACGAAGGAATGAATGAATTTAAATATTCAAGTAGTGTGTCTCGTCGTATTTGATGTTGCAACTCAGTCTGCAAGTTTGAAATTTATTTGTTATGGCTTTCAAATTAACTGCGAGAGCCTTATAAAAGTCAACCTTGCTTGCTGCATTACCCTCGGCTTACTATATTTTTATGTCGTGAGCAGATTGATGAAAAACTCTGAAATGCAATCTCTTGTTAACCGGCTTTAATAGGATCGTCCTAAATATGTTAAACGATAGCGAACGCTTCAATTAATATCAGTACAGGCCATAAATAGTATCATAACATGTCCACGAAGCCGATAAAAACGATAAAACCCGAGTTGGAACAGAAACTACATGGCTGGGTCGAAGGTTGCCAGTTCAATACCCGTCCGTCGTCTCTTCTACGATGTTTGTGTGTATCAACAACTATTATGGAATTTAATTGATGCTTATAGCGAGATGCGTTCCTATAATGCCATCCATAGATTTAACAACATTCCCATAAACAGAACAGAATTAGCTGCGCCCTGCCACCAAGCAACGATTGCTAATTAGATCATTAAATAGAACAATGAGGGGATATTACGCTTATATATTAGACTGGGCCAAAAAAATCAACTATTTTTTTTAAGTAAATCGAAAATATGGTTTGGGTGACAAAAAAAAATTATTGTGAAAGTTTGAGTTAAATGGAAAATTGACTATATCTCAAAAACTGTTCAACTTTTTTAACTTTTGACGACATTTTTGGATTCAGGGGACAATTTTTCATAAGAATTGGCTGTTAAATTTTGGGATACCATGGTATCCCATGGTTAACCATGGTACAAGTGAAAAAGCGGCCACTAAAAACTATTTTTGACTAATTCATTTTTAGAGAGTATTTAACGAGTGTGCGAAGTATCCGAAAAAAGATGCCATCCCTGGTTTTCAAACTGAAATTAGAGGATAAAGTTACGAAATACATTAATAATTGTGGTAGTAGTACTGATAATTATATTGTCCAAATTTCATTATAATTTGATGATTTCAGAATGGTGTGTTATTTAATTGTAAGTATGTTATTTTTGTGTTTATTTGTAGGTATGTGTTAATTTTTTGTTTGTGTAATTGATTAATATAGCAACATTTCTTATCAAAATTCTTTTCATTAAAGTTACCAATTTTCAACAAATACTTTTGTTACTGGGTCTTTAAAAAGATTTGTAAAAAGGGTATTTTTTGAAAATTTTGGTTGAATTATTGACATAGGATTTTGTTATTAAATCAGGATTAACATAAAATGTGGTTAATATTTGGTAAAAAATAACAATTATTTTTTTCTACGTCCACTATGTAAACGTATTGGCATCGTTGCTTAGAAAATTAATCTTTTCATTGGCAAGGCAAAACACGAATGTAAAGTGACATTTCTGTGTGAAAAGTGACAGGTCTGTATGAAAAGAAATTGACAGCATCGTGACATTCGTTTCAAAATTTGTATTGTATTTGATGCCTAAATATTATTTAGGACACAATTAATTGTGTTTGTATACTAAATTCTAATTTTAAGTGCCTTTATTTAAATTGAGTAACTTATACCTTAAAAATTCAAAGAATAATATGAAAGTAATTTTAACAGCTGTTAAACACGTTTTTAGGGTCGTAGTTTTACTTGTAAGAAAAGCTTTCTTCAAGCTCGTGTTAATGCACACTCGGCCTGACGGCCTTGTGAGCAACTTAAACACTCGCATGAAAAAGTCGCTTTTCAACACTTGTAAAACAAATAACTATTTACTGTGTATGCAAATGTCGCAGAAAATTCGTTTTTATTAAAAAGTAAAATATATCGGCGTTTTAACGAAATATTCTGCATGGATTACACTAAAGATAGTACAAGTTAAGTAAGTGTGTAGGATACGTTCTATATGTACTTCATTACGTCTTTGTGTTGGGATTGCGGAAGCCGTAAAATCCAAAATGCGATAAATTAAAAATGCGGGCGTTGAGCAATTTTCGCAAATGTGCGATACACTTTGTTAATGGTAGCCGCCCTTTATGTGCTGCTGAATATTCCGATTAAAATTTCCCGGCCGCCCGTCGCCACCCCCGCCACCGACACTTCCTCTTCCTTTTGCTGATTTTTTCGCGATATAAAGCTACCCCTCCTTTCACGTGAACTAAAGGGGTAGCTTTCACGCCGGCACAAATTACACTTGAAAAATTAATGCTTTACTCGCATTATTTTTACTTTGTCGTCAAGCTAAAAGCAAAGACAATCAATTTAAAATTTAATGGCGAAGTGAATTCCCTCCTCCTTACGCCGCCTCCGCCGGTGCAGCAGCAAAATGCGTTTCTAACATCTAGTGGTAAATACTCCATTAAAATCAAATCAAAATCAGTTTATCCTCATAAAAGAACGATTTCGTTACTTCCCGAGTGCGCAGCCCGGGAAAAATTGTTGAAACCTTTAGAAAAGAATATTCTTTCAACAAAATAGATAAATAAGTACAGTATTATTAAAATTATTTGTCTGGTTTTGTTTTTATCCTTTTATATAAAGATTACTTTCTAAAAATGAATTAGTCTTAAATGACTAATTGTCATAGCGAAAAAGCAGCTTTTCTTGTCAACAGCAATTTATATCCCGGATATTTAGCAGTCAATTCTTATGTAAAATTGTCCGTTGAATCCGAAAACAGTTTTTGAGATATTGTCAATTTTTCATATAATTTGGAGTTGACCATATATCAAAAACTGCTTACGGTATTTTTGGATTAGGGGACAATTTTACATAAGAATTGGCTGTTAGATGTCCGGGATACAAATTGCTGTGGACTACAGTTATTGGTGGCTGCTTTTTTACTTTACATTTAAAATGAATCATTTTTAGAGGGTTTGGATGTAGTTCTAATGTATCTCAATTTAAGCTAAAACATCTGTTAAAAACTTCCAACCTCACTTTTTCCCAATTTAAAACCCTATTGGTTCAAATCACAGTGAATATTGAAATCAGCCAATCACTGATGCCTAGCAACGTGAATAATGAGGATATTATTGCCGTTGTTATAATAGGAAAAAACGCACAATTTGCAAAATTGACAAATTATTAAAATTTACAAAATGTTTAAAATTAACAGAATTTGTTAAATTTCAGGGTTCGAAAATATCATAATATTTATATAAATATCCGATATATTTCAATGATATATGTATATCCGATATATATCACCTCGTATATCACTATAAGAAATATAAATGCAAAACACAATAAATATAAAAATATAAATACAAAATCCATTATTATCTAACAGTATATTATTATATTATAATACAAATATTACTAAAATGACAAATCTAAAAACTCTTTGGAATTATATATCACAGTTTCTATAGATACTTAAATAAATTATTTAGTGCCGCTTTAAAATTTTTAAAATTTTTGTTTTTTATATCTCATGGTAGCTTATTAAAAAAAGTTATCCCTAGATGGTCAAAGGAATTTTGAGTTTTATTTACTCTGTTCTTTGGGATTCTTAGCATTTTGTTAAATCTTGTTTCGTGACCAGTGATATATATCTGCGAAGGCTGTTAAATTTACAATTTTTTTTTTGAATTTTCTAAAATTTGTAGGTATAGGTCCCAAAATTTTCTAAATTTCTAAAATCATCAAATTTATGCTATAATGTTTTTAAATCAAACCTTTGTAATGTAATTGTATCTTTTATAGACAAGCTGTGACCTTGGGGCGTTTTAGTCACGGGCTGAAGTTGGCTTTATTATAAAAAGTGAGGTTAAATTCGTCATTGTCAAATAAAATTGGCTTTAAGTTCTTATTTTTGTTCGTCGTGGATAAAGTATAGTAGGTATACTATATATATATATATATATTCTCGAGACACAGGTTTTTATTTAAACACTCGTGCCTAATAAAACTCGTAACTAAAATAGCGATAATAAAACTTTATACATAATAATATACTATTATCTACTCCTACATTGACGCGCTGTGACTTTATGGCGTTTTAGTCACAGGCTGAAGTTAGCTTTATTATAAATTGGGAAAAAAAGTTAAATTCGGGTGACGGTTGACAGATGTCAAATTTTTCACAAATAAAATTTGCTTTAAATTCTGTTTTTTGTTAGTCGTAGATAAAGTATAGTAGGTATGCAACTCGTAGATAGATGTGACTTGATAAATAAAACTTAATTTAGAACAATATACGGTTTTGCCACTCTACAGAGTGTCTTAAACTTATGGTAAAAAAACATCTTTTTGTTTAAACCTGTATATTATAAACGTACGTCTATTTTTTAATAAAAAAGTTATTTGCGATTGAAATTCATCAAAAATTTGTGTGGATCGATTATTTTGCCCGTGAGTGTATTTTAACTACACTGAAAAAAAATATTACATTTAAATGTAAAGTTACAGGATTATTACCATATAAATTCCTAATTTTTACGACAAATTGTAAAATTACCTTTATTTTCGTCTAATTTTTATATATTTCAAGTAAATAAACATTTTTGTTTGTAAAATTACTAATGTTATGTATTAATTATTGATACAACAAGTAAATTTAACGAACTAAATGTAAAAAATACAATTATAACGTCTTACTGCAATATTTCAAATGTAAATATACTTTATTAGTCTTAATATTACAGGTTTAAATGTTTTTTTACATTCGGAGTGTAGTAAAAATCGCAAAATTACATTTCATATGTAACCGGAGAAGAAGCCTATTGGCTGGGAATTCGCGCATGCCTGCCCACGCATCGGTATGTTAATGTTATCATGTATAAATACATTTAAAATAAAAACATATTACATTAAAAATGTTATTTTACATAAAAAATATAAATGAGTTACACGTCAATTATGCTATTACATTTTGCTTGTCAAATAATAATGAAATGGAATATTTCAGTTATCAACAAGGCATCAAAATAACCAATCTCCATTACCGGAAATTTACATGATTTTTTTTTATAGAAGGTTATTTTGACAAATCCCGAATCTGGTATATAGGTAGTTATTAACACCAAACAGTCTCAAAGTTGGCCATATAATTAGCAAGAGTTGGGCATTGAAAGAGAATGGTTGTGCACTTGGCTCTCGCGTATACAAGAACCACGGCAGCGGTCCAGATGGAGGTGGGGCGGGGTGAGGGGCGGCCTGTCCGTCCGTCCGATCTTCGGACTCGTTAGGGATGTTGTACACCTGACCCGGTCCTGGCAAGTCACGATGGACAATGACCCGAGGAATGCGGCTGCTATTCATACCCCAATTCAACACCAGCACCAAAGCCTTTTCAAACACACAGCACAACATGGTGCGACGATGGGAACCAGGTACATTTACACACTACCACCGATTTTACAAAAGCTCAGCGAAAATATCCAATTCTAAATGGATTAATTAAAACAGGATGTGGGTAAGTTTAATGCATCGTACGGTAAGGTGGCACAAGAGTGTGATATAAAGAAGTTAATAAATTAATAAAAAACAACTTATAGTATAAATCTAAAAAACGTTTTTTTAAATATAAAAAACATGAACAAAAACGTTTTTTTGATAGCCGTAGCGGCCTCCACAATAAAGTATATTCTGTCAATAATGATATTAAAAAAACTCAGGCCCACATTAATGTATCTTATTGGGTTCAAAGTTTATTTCCTATGAAATTGATGTTTTTTGGTGTTACTTCAGTGGCGGCTGATTAACGAATATTTTTGACAAAAAAATGTACGCCATTGAGTTTTTTGTAATGTTTATACTTTTTTCGGATTAAGCAACTAAAAGTACAACTTTTTTGTCTCTTGAATTTTTTGTATTTGCTTAGTTTTTGAGAAAAAAAATACACTTAAATAAATATCTTGTGCACATGTGGTCTATAGATCTAGGGATATGCAATTAAGGATATTTTTTTTTCTGGCAAACAAAATTCAAGGGTAGGGTTGGGAAAATTTCACTTTTTGCTTGTACTTGAAATTTCACTTGAAATTTTTATGACATTTATGAAATTTATTACAATTTCCTAAATTTCTGAAATTTATTGAAACTTGCAATAAATTTCAATCACTTTAAGTGTAATATTGAAATAAGCCCACTCGGAGACCATGGCAAATTGCCTCTCTTACCTCCTACCCCTCTGTGGGCCCTGCATTAATAATATAAATAGTAAATACCTACACTAATGGACAAATTTAGAGAAACATTTAAATTATCCTCATATTTTCCTTAATAAACGAATTAAATGAGCGCAACCCTCACTGTATAAATAATATTATGAATAGACACCCTGTATAAAAAAATTATTTACCTGCGACTGTTACTCTTATTTTTTTCGACATTCTTTCATTTTTTGCTGGACAGAAGTAGAGAAACTTTTTTTAGATATCAAATATTTCATATGAATTCAGTTATTAATCGATCTTCGAAGAAGTATTTTTCAAAGTATTAATACATAAAATGCCTCGAGGAGTTTATTTGTCAGAAGATTTAAAAAAGAAAATTATTGAATCTTACGAAAGTGGAATAAAGCAAGTGGTCATTTTAAGTAACTTTAATCTGAATAAAAGTGTAATTTCTAAAACAATTAAAAACTATAGAGCTCGTCATTCTTTAAAATCCATTAAAAAACCGGGAAGAGCACGAAAAACTACTAGGCGTATGGACAAAAGATTCAAAAGTTGGCCCAGCGTAATCCTACCTGGACAAGTAATGAAATTTTAAAGAATATTCCTGAAGCAACGGTTAGTTATAAAACTGTACAACGAAAATTACGAGAGTTTTTGACTATTTAGCAGAAGATCAGCTAAGAAACCATTAATTAGTTTAAAGAACCAGAGAGCCCGACTCGAATTTGCCAGAACCCATTTAAACTGGACTTACAATGATTGGAAAAAAGGACTGTTTACGGACGAATCAAAGTTTAACTTGTTTGGATCTGATGGTCGGGGTTGGGTACATCGTCCTGTGGGTCAGAGATTTAATCCAGAATTCACTAAACCAACGGTTAAGCATGGAGGTGGATCTGTTATGGTGTGGGGCTGCTTTTCAGGATATGGTATGGGCCCACTACACGTAATTGAAGGTATAATGGATCGTTTTGTGTATCTGGATATAATAAAAAATGTTATGTTGCCATTTGCCGGGGAAAATTTACCATTAACGAGGATCTTCCAACAAGATAATGATCCGAAGCA